TTATAATATTTTATAATATATTTACATTCAGTATGCTGTGACCAGTGAAATGCGTTAGCTTTGTCTGCATCTTATCACATATGGAACGTGTGGAAATTGCTCTGGACAGTAGCTTTTAAGACTAATCCTTCATTCCTTTCAGCCAAGTGCACAGGTGTTCAGTGCTGTACGCTGGCAAATCTGCTTCCAAGGCACTGGGGTGAGAAGCCAGTCATGCCATTTGAGTGCAGTGTGGCCTTGTTCACTGAAGTTAAACATACAGTAGTCATGCCATTCCTGGAACCTGCTTTGCCTCATTCCCATGTGCTCACCTTTTGAATGAGCTTATGATCAGGAATGTACCTCACAGAGAAAGCACAGTATAGTCTGGGAAGCCTGATTCAGGGACTTGCATTCAAAGTCCCCCACTGATCCAAGCATGCACCCACTCTGGCAGAGTTCACCCTTGTGCTTTGGGGGTTCACAATGTCCCAGCTGCTCCACAACACGCTGTACACAGTCAGTTTTCAGTAGCTGGATCTCTGTCAAGTGTGAACCACTAGCTCTAGGTCTGTGTGTGCTCCAAGGAAATTGTGCTGCCACCTCTGGCAGCATTGCCCTACCTGTTTGGGATGCATGGGGTTGCACTTCCTCCTGATGGTCCCAGCCAAGGGCACTCTTGTCCTGATGATCCCTCTGGACCCCGAACTTCCCACCAAAGCCCACAGAATAGTCTTCAGCCACAGGGATCCAGATCATGGCATAAGAGAAAAGCGGCAGCACTGTGAGCTCAGGCTGTTCTCACAGGGGCAATAGTTTTCCCTGCGCAGGACTTAGAGAAAGACACGGAGCAAGGCCAGATTTCCTCACTGGTGGCTGCAGCAACAGCCCTCCCTCATCCCTGGGACATGTCACCTGCTATTAGCACCTGCCTGGGTTTCCCCTGCACCCTTCCTCTGGTGACATACTGCCCAGGAGATCCCTGTGCCCATAGAAATCTGCTGCTCCTCTTCATTTAGCCTGAACTTTTTCTAGCAGTCATGCACCGTGCAATGGCTTTCCTCACCTGCCCCATTCCCTTGCTGCAAGCAGTAGGCACCCAAGAGCTCCCCATAGCGTTTCCACCATTCATGCAGCAGGTTGCAAAAATCAAGCACAGTGCCCCACCACCCCAGTGGGCATCGTCCCAAGCTCCAGTCCTGACACTGCCTGCTGCATTGGGCTCCCCCAGCTCACCTTTCTGAGAGTCGTGCTTCTCTGCCTGGCTCTTGTAGTCGAATCCCACTGCCACTTTGTCCACCTTGTCCCTCTCCACACCGTAACGGCCACCAAAGCCCTTGGAGTAATCTGAGGCAGTGCATGGAGTGAAATGCTGCCCGGAGGCTGGTGAGGGGAGGGGGTAAAGATGGGGAGCAGTACTGGGGAGGAGCACCAGGGAGGAGGAAGAGTAGCGGGGACAATGGAAAACAACAGAAAAAGCAAGGGGTTTGGAGGGGACAGAGTGGATAGCAGGGAGGGCGATTGAGGATGGGAGCCCATGGGAATGGATGCACAGGGCAAACATGGGTCATGGCAGCAAGAGAGCCTGAGGGCCGTGGGCAGCAGGAGGCACAGCAGGCCGAGAGGGCAAGGAAGAAAACCCACATGCCAAGGGCAGCTGGGGAGGCAGTGGGAGCTCAGCCACCCAAGGACACAAGGCCAAGGCAAGGCTTGGGCACCGACAGCCTGGGCGTCCACCCACTCACGCATCTCCAGAGCAAGGATGTCAACTGTGGTCTGCCAGTCTCTGAAAAGGTCTGTGAACAAGCATATTGAGCCCTTGAAAGTACAGAAGAAATGGCAAACCTTTGTTGTATGGTTTACATTTGCTACAATGGAATCTCAACTTCTACAAGGAAACCACTGACTCTGGATGCTGCACCAAAGGCTGAAACCCATATTTCTGGAGACATGCTCCAGCTCTCCCCCAGACTGTCTCTGGCACGCTCGACCATTATGTGATAGAGGCACAGCATGTCTTCCTTACACCTCCCCTTTTTCCATCTTCTAAACTAGTAATGTATTAACTACTTCAACTGTGTTCAGTTATTCTCTAAGGACTACCTTGTTATTATTGGCTGATGTCCTAAGAAATTTCAGCCTCTATCTTAGCTGCTGGCCGTATAGAGACACTTCCCTTTCAGAGACCTGGTCTGCCAGCTCTGTTTCCAAATCCTGCCCTTCAGGAGGAGTAAATCAGTTACCTCTCTTTGTTCCCTGACCCTATTCTTACAGGCCTGCATTTCACAGGAAGGAGTTGGGGCTTCTCCAGCAGATTCAGCCTTATCGATCCATGAAGACTGTGATCTAGAGAAATATGCATGAAAACATTTTATATTCAAGAACGGCTCTCTGTTTTATAGAAGGTCAGTCACTTAAGGATGAATCTCTAAGTCCTAGAAATTTCTTAAACTTATCTCGATTAAACTATTATTTACCCATTAGGCCATTATCCTTTTAGGATGCTGTTTTCAGCAAATATAGATTTTATGACTGTTACCTCGATGCTGGATTTTCCAGTATGGACACATTTTTATGAAAAACAATCCAAACACCTTACCCTATTTCTAACATTTTCATTTTGACCTGAGCGATTTCTGTGGTTTTACACAGCCTGATGAATTTCTATGTCTACAATCTAGTATACAATCTCTTATACAGGAATATGTTAATGTAGCACAACTGCATGTGATTCATTAATTTAAGATCAACCAAGAATGCCTCAAAACCATCTTCCTTCTTTTATAGTTTCCTCTGAAAGGAATATGATTCAGTTCTTCTTTACTTGGTAATGCAGTATTCCTCACATTTATCCGAAACAGTAACAGACCTTGCTCTCGCATCTTCTCTTGGTTACAGAGTATTTAAAATATCTTTAGTTTCAGTTCTTGCAATGTTCTTAATGAATATAGCTGCTTCTATGTACATGTTAAAGTTTGGTTGAATCACCTCCAGAATTCTGCAAAAGTTTGGGTGCTGTATAGGCTCTTGTTTCCATATCTATTGTTCTGCCTTTTCTTATATGCCGCTTTTTCAGAAATCACTTCTCACGTCCTACAGTGCTTGGGTTCCCTCTGGAACAGTTGCTCAGAGGACTTTTAGAGGAAAAGGAACATCAGCCATCCATCAGGGGTGCGTGTGGGGGTGTCTTCTCTGCTCAGCCATGATGTGGTTGCCATCAAAACAAAACGTAGAGACAAGCAGAATGTACAACAGAAGGGTGGTGACAGGACAGCAGGGAATGGGGCCACAATGACTGGGAACAGGAATCTGAAACAAGTGACAGGAGGGGGATAACAAAGGAGATTGTGCCACAGCAGACAGCACAGGATATTGGGAGCAGAAGAGAAGCTGGGCAAAGTGTCAAGGGGCCACACGTGCCAACGGACTTGCCTTTCTGGGACGAGTGTTTCTCCACCTCACCCTTGTATTCAAAGCCCAGTGCTGACTGGAACAAGAAGGGGAGGAATGTCAGTCATCCTGAGGGCCAAGCCGGGTCTCACCCACCCTCCTCCAGGGGCTGGGCTGGGACCCTGTTCCCTGTCTTGTGCTGCAACATGCAGGCGCAGGCGCCTGGCCACTCCTCGGCTGGTACAGGCCTCCGCAGCCCTTCACATCAGCCCTGCTGTCCATGTGGCAGCATGCCCAGGAACGGGCCCTCGCAGGAGCCCATGCCCTCCAGGTAAGAGGGCCATGATCCTGACCCCACACCCTGTCAGTAGGCAAGGTGGCTGGGCAGCATCTGACACCAGGGTGTGCACGGGAGGGACAGCATCCTGCTGTCCTCATCCAGTCCTGCCACGGCCAGTCACTGTGCATGGCACAGGGTGGGGGTCTGGAGATGCAAAACACCACAAGCCCCCAAGACAAACAAAGTGCTGCCTGGCTAGGACAGCGCAAGCACGTTAATGCACACCAGAGAGTTAATCTTCACAAGTGCCCTGCAATTTGTCATCATTGTCCTGCACGCAGGAGGTGAGCTGCATGCTTCAGTGGAGACCATGGTGCATGGCATGCCTAGACCTGCACCCACCAGCACTTTGAAAACTGCAGCCACAATCCTAAATGTGTTTTAGGGGCAGCACTGAGCACAGGCTGCAAGTACAGATTCCAGCTGCCCTGTCCAACACACCTTGTCAGCTCGGTCCCGCTGGACTCCATACTTCCCCCCAAAGCCCTGGGCTGCATCCGTCTGCGAGGAGTGCTTCCCAACATCAGCAATGTACTCGTGGCCCACTGCACACTGAGAAGAGAGACAGCATGACATGAGCACCCATGGTCAGACTGGCAGGGTGGACAGGGACATAGGCACCACACAGTTGCTCTGCCCCGCTGCCAAGATGCTTGCAGCCGCAAGGTGACAGGTCCAAAATGACCATGCTGGTGGTGGCAATGCTTTCTGCACAGCCTTTGCCAGTACCAGCTCTGCTCTGAGACCTGTGATGCAGCCTCAAGGGCAGCCACCCCACACAAGCAGCCCCACTGCCAGCTCATCATGCATACCGTGGGACGCTGAATACCCGCTGCTCCCAAATGCCAGTGAAGTAGAGTGGTGGATAATCACATGGGGAAACTGAGGAGAAAAGTGCGGATAGGCATGCACAATCGAAAACCCACAAGCATCAGGTCTGGCACCTGCTCCCTGTTCTCTGTGTCTGAGAGTGAGCGTCAGCAGACCTGGCTGGGATCACCCTTTACGCCTGCCACAGGCCAGGCCAGGGTCCCGCTGCTCCCTGCGGGAGGTGGTGTGGCCAGGAACTGCACACGCTCCTCAGGAGAAGGGCCAGAGGCTGAATGCTTGCAACATCCTGGTAAGACTGGATGAAGGCCGAGGAGCTGCTCAACAGAAATGTCCTTACTCTGCTTCGGCAGAAGGGTGTGAGCACGGCTGCTCCACTTCAGCCTCCTGGAAATGTCTGTTTCTCACCCTACCATCCCGGTATGATGCACACCCACAGTGACCCCATCTATGGAATACTACTGCAATCTTATCATCTCACTTCTGAAAAAAAAGAAGTATTAAATGCTGAAAGGTACAGGAAGAAGCGTAATGATGATTATAGGAAAACATAAAATAGGTCTGATGTGAGAAGAAAGAATATGAACTAGGGCTTCATCCTGGGGAGATATGACAGAGGTCTGTAATGGAGAATGTGAGGAGGGAAGAATTATTCATTAGTTGTCCAAGAACAAGTAGGGAGGCACCTAATTCAACTGTTATGCAGCAGGTTTGAAACAAGCCACAGAAAGTCCCTCTTCACAGCTAAGGGGAGTGTTGCAAGGAAGTTGTAGAGACAAATGATACAAATGGGTTCAAACAGATCCTGGAGACAGATTATCTCCCCTGCATGTATGAATCTGCGCAGCCATGCCAGCTCTCCATTCTCTCCCTTCAGGGTCAGGCCAGAAAACAGGGATGCTCTTTCCTTTATGAGAAAAAGACTTTTCTACTGGGGCCCAAGGAAGCCCTCTACAACTGTTACCTTATCCATCCGGTCCCGCTCTGTTCCAAATTTGCCCCCATAGCCATAGGAGGCCTTGGGGCCAGTCTCCAGCTCCTTCTTCTTGATGATCTCATGTTCCTCTGACACCTTGTTCCTCAGCTGATGGATGCTGGTGAGACAGAGAGAGTCAGGGCAAGTCACTGTGGCGTTGTGCAGTCCCATGCAGCCGGCTGGAGTATCCCTGTGCCACTGTAGCAGCCAGAGCCCAGCACAGAGCCGGACATAAACCTGGCCAGCTGCCATCCTATGCCCACACTGGGCCCCTCTGTGTGGTAGCCACACACGTGCAGTCACTGCACTGTGGCAGATGATGCTACCCTGGGGGTTGGCGAAGGATCCAAAGCAGTAAGCTCAGCGGGTGCTGAGCATCCAGCTCCCACCCTGCAGCCCCCATTCAGGGCTACATCCTGTCTTCAAC